CGACGCCATAAGGGCACGTCGCATCGACGATGGAGAAATGCAAGTTGCATTTGCCCGGTCAAATCTGGCAGGACGTGCCAAGACTTGGGCACTATGACTCAAGTTGCACGACCCATATGCGTTTGGGTCGTTGGAAGTCTTCAAGTCGCGGCTTAGACAAACGTTTGAACCGCCTAGAGCTGAGTTCAGAGCTCGAACCGAACTCTCGAAGCTCAAACAGGGTAAGCGTGATGTGCACGCTTACGCGCAACATATACGACATCTCACGAGTTGTATAAGTTCCAACCCGGTTGATGAACACACGTTGGTTTCGGTGTTCATGCAGGGTCTTGCGGATGGTCCCGTCAAGACTCACCTGTTCAGACTTGAACTAGATTCACTAGATCAAGCATTTCCATTGCGGAACAGGAAGACTTCAGTCTGATTCAGGCTCGCGCCAGCTCGACATCATATCGTCAACCGAGACGATATGACAACGGAGGTCCAGAGCCGATGGAACTCTGTTATGTAGAGAGCGAGAAGGCTCGCTCTGCAGACTACAAGAAGTTGCAGAAATGCAACAGATGTCAGAAGACAGGACACTACGCTTACGAGTGTAGCCCCTCGTCCAGTGTCTCGCAACACTGGGTGTAGTGACCGTCCACCCATGAGAAAGGGGCAGGGACGCGGGTCCGCTGTTGGTGCAAAGACGTAACAACGGGATGGACCGTCAAAAAACGGACAGGATCAGTAGGTGCGGAGCACCCTACTGGTCCAGCAACGTCAAGAGAATTTGTAGGCCTCTTGATGAAGGTTGCTCCCAACACACAAACGTTGTGCGTTGCTGCTCTAGGTAATGAGGTCTCACTCATTACCTTGAAACTCGAAGTGACAAATAAGTTGTCCCTTCGAGCTCTAGTCGATTGTGGGGCGTCCAACAATTTTGTGCGACGCCAATCGCTGGAAGATGGTCACTTCAAGCTCAGTGAATGTGACACACCTCCTACGAGGATGACGGTACGTCTTGCGACAGCCGCATTCGCAACCGTCATGAAACGTATAGTGAAGATCCACTATACGCTAGAAGATACTCAATATGATGATGACTTTATCGTATTGGATTTGGATGCCAAATTCGATGTCATCCTTGGAATACCGTAGCTCAGAAGGTACGAACCATGGGTAAACTGGCAACATCGAACAGTAACGATGCCTGCCGCTTGTTCATCAGATGGCCATCTGATGAACGTTTTGGAGCGTCCACAAGCGTGTGGATGTACTACGGGTGAGTGCGATGGCCTCACTTGTGGTACGGTCGTTAGTACGACTGCACAAAACCTTAGTGTAACAAACGGTTACACTTCGGAGCAAAGTTCCGGCGGCCGTGAGGAAACACAGGCTGCACCGAAGGTCCACCACTCGAATAAGTCGGGTGGACTGGGAAAAAGATGTATCCCTAGCGGGGAACATCTAGAAGAGAAAAAATCGATCGCTCAGGTTAAGCGAAACGATAATCCTAGATCGACTGGAGAGTCTTTCGTAGAGGATCTCGCTGTGGTTGCGCAACCACAGCTAGAGGAAGTTAAGGGAATAAGTCCCAAGATTGCAAATACGGCGGAAGTAAGTTCCCCGAAACCCGCGGGAATAAGTCCCCGGGAAGCCGAAGGAATAAGTCCTTCGAAGCCTGAGGGAATAAGTCCCCAGGAAACGACAGAGATATTGAATGTCATAGTCAATAACGGATCAAGTGTAGGCGCTTATACACTTGATCTGATTGCGCCTCCGAAGTTGACTTCGGAGATCACTTAGTTGCCAACGCTCGAACATAAAAGATTCTTGCGTGATCTGCGTAGTGGCAAAGTCAAGCAGATCTGCGTACTCGTCGCTGACGACGAGTGTGTAGCCGACATAAGGTCAGCAACAGTGTTTACTGAGAACGAGAGAGTTCTCAGTAGTTCATCTATGGACGAGAGGGTCCTAGATGAAAAGACACGAGTTGAGCGATATGACTCCCAATCGTGGGAATCGCTCAAGACAAATCCTCTCTATGAAGATTTGGTTGAATTCAATGATGCATTCCCTGAAACTGTTCCGTGCGAATTACCGAAGGATAAAGGTACTCGAAACGAGGTCGAGCTTAAACCAGGCTCGAAGTACTGTGTCATGAAGCAGTGGCCACTGCCTCGAGAACAAGTACTTGCGATCGACAAGTTCTTTGCCGATCGTTTAGCTGCGGGCCATGTGAGGGAACATCTTCCACACATAGCTCTCCGACCTTCTGTGTGCGAAAAGCAACAGGAGGGTGGCGGATAGTGCACGCATTTAACAAGTTGAATGTTGAAACGGTACCGGCTCAGAAGCCGATACCAAGGAAGGACGTCATCATAGATGGTATGGCAAAGAGTACCATCTTTTCGTCCATGGATCTGATGGATCGATTCGATCAAATCCTTATGCGAGAACGGGATATACCCTATACCGCAGTTAGCACGCCTAGCGGCATGCTCTGGGAATGGCTAGTAATGCCACAAGGGCTTAGTAATGCCCCTGCCACGTTCAACAGATGTGTATCACATCTGTTGAGACCAGTACGAGAATTCGCGCCGAGTTATTTCGATGACGTATTCATCCATAGTCGGGCTATGGATGGAAAGTTGGATGTTGAGGTTCACAGGTACCACGTCCGACAAGTTCTTACAATCATGCGTAATCATCAATTGTATGCAAACCTCAAGAAGTGTATATTTGCAGCAAGCGAAATACCACTTCTTGGGTGCATCGTTGGTAAGAACGGAGTACGTCCTGATCCCGAAAAGATCAAGGCGATCACCAACTGGCCTGTGCCGGTTGATGTCAAAGGTCTTCGAAAATTCCTTGGGCTAGCGGCGTATTTGCACAAGTATTCACGCCATTACGCCGAGATGACTTTACACCTCTCTCGTTTGTTGAAAACGAACGAGAGGTGGTCATGGAACGCTGTATGTCAGCGCTCCTTTGATGGTATCAAGCAGAGCTTGATACAATCCCCAGTCCTAGCAATAGCCGATCAGGACAGGCCATTTCATGTGGTCTGTGATGCCAGCGATTTCGCAATCGGCTGTGCATTAATGCAGTACGATCTTGAAGGCGCTGAACGCGTCGTCTGCTATCAGTCGCGTCAGCTGCAACCAGCTGAGCGGAACTATCCAGTGCTTGACAAGGAACTCCTTGCCATGAAGTATGCACTCGCGAAGTTCAGAGTCTATCTATTAGGAGATAGACCCTTCATTGTTTACACTGACCATGCGTCATCACGCACGGCAGTGAACAGCCCGCACCTTTCACAACGAATGGCGCGGTGGTTGTCATTCTTTGCAGAATACAACTTTACGGTCGAGTACAAACCAGGACGACTTAATGTCGTCGCTGATGCACTCTCACGTCGTCCCGACTTTGAACCAGTCGTGAAACCCAACAGTGAGACAGTCACTGTTGCGGTTAAGACGTCCTCAGTACCATCTTCAACGTTGAATGATGATGTGAGGCGGGTGTATGCCCAAGATGGTGAGATTGTGAAATTGTTGACACATCTCTCTCAACCATCTCGAGAATCGTTGAAACAGTTATCGTCTGCGTATCGATCTGCATCAGATCGATTGACACATCTCTCTCAACCATCTCGAGAATCGTTGAAACAGTGATCGTCTACGTATCGATCTGCATCAGATCGATGCACTACTCGCAACGGGTTACTGTATTATACAGCCGTTTCTGGTGACACACCACGTGTTGTCATTCCAGATGATACTGATCTGCGTTTGCGGATCATGTTCGAGTATTACGATGCTCCTGTAGGAGGACATCGTGGCCGGGAGAAATCTTATCTCGCGGTGAGTCGAGACTTTTACTGGCCCCGCCAGTATCAGTTTGTGCGAAAGTATGTTCGCGCATGCGAAGTCTGCGAACGAGTGAAGTCAAGTCCTTCACTGCGTGCACCTTTGCAGCCTCTACAAGTTCTGGCAGAGTGCTGGGAATCCATCTCAATGGATTTCTTCTTCGGGTTACCCAAAGACGCACGCGGGAATATGGGTATTCTCGTTTTTGTTGACAGATTCAGCAAAATGGTACACCTTGTGGCTGTACGGGAGTCAATCACGGCAAGTGGCTGTGCTTGTGTCTTTATCGACACCATCTTCCAACTTCATGGGTTGCCCCGTGAACTCGTATCAGACAGAGATCCACGCTTCACTGCTGATTTCCGGCATTCCGTGTTCAAATCACTCGGAACGCGCTTGAAGATATCGACATCTGATCATCGAGAGTCAGATGGTCAGACGGAACGTGCCAATCGTGTCCTTGAAGAGATAATTCGAGGGTACGTAGACTCCTATAAGAGTTGGAGTGAGTTCTTGCCAATGGTAGATTTTGCCATTAACAACTCGGTGCATGCGTCCACGACACATGCACCGTTTTACGTGAATGGCTTGCGCCATCCGCGTGTACCCACCTTACTCGAGTGTAACTCTGGTTTAAGGGGGGAGAGACTCGCGCGAGCAAAAACCGATTTGGATCACGCTCATCACGCTCTGACGATGAGGTCATTGCGTTTGATGCCGATATCGACAACATCGATATCGAAGAAGATGTTGCCAGTGAGAGCGCGGAAGCCCTCACTGAAGAAAAGATTGATGTTGCTGCAGTGCACTCACAGCGCACTGAAGCTAACGAGTCATCAGATGAGTTCATACTGGCTCGTGAAACGGCAGTCCGTTTTGTGCAAGACTCCATCGCCGAAGCGTTGGATAAGCAAAAGCAAAACGCTGACAAGAATGGAAGGGTAAACACTCTTTTATTTAGTAAAGGTGACTTAGTCCTACTGTCTACGGTTAATCTACCAAAGCATGTAGTGACTAACTTGGGTAGCAGTAAACTACTACCCAAGTACATTGGCCCATTTCGTGTATTGCACCGCCTAGGCAATGCATACACGATCGAGTTGCCACGTAAGATGCGAACGCATCCCACGTTTTACGTTGGTCGGCTTAAGCCGTACCATCAGTACGCTGCTTCTTCCGATGAAGAACGCCCTTGCGCTCAAGCATCTCGCAGAGAGCCTTGTGCTCCCGATGGTGGGCATCGACAGGTGTCTGAAGAGCACTTATGTCAGCCCGAGAACGGTCAACAATCCCACGAGCTACCCTTATCTCATCACGAAGAGATGTCAGAGCTCTCTCGCTCTCAAGCTGAGCAAAGGCAAACTCAGCTCGATGCTTCAAGACAGTGTCCGCCGTTTGGAGACGCCTGTCCCGCTCATGTTCGATGTCGCCGCATAACCCTTGCGTTACGCGATCAAAGAAGATCTCGGGAACACACGGATCCCCACGATCGTGTGGAGAGCGTCTTTCCTCCTCCTCCACCTCCATTAGAGGACTCTCGCGGTGGCCAGCGCTATCTGGTTGAGCAGCTGTTGAGCCACCGCGACGTGAACGGACGTCGGACGAGTTATCTCGTCCGGTGGCGCGGCTATCCCCCGTCCTGGGATACTTGGGAGCCCCGCTCCCAACTGATGGTTGACGTACTGGGTCTGGTTGAGCAGTACGACGCGGCACATCCTGTCCCGCAGAGGGACCGCCGGAGAAAATATTCTCGGCATGGTCGTAAAGGGATTTCAGGCTGTCAATCCCTTCGTACATCTCAGTAGAGATACGTACGCGCCACCACGGGCTAGTAAGGAGGTAAGCCTCCTTAGGTGCTCGTGCAGAGTTGTTCACACAACATGGGCGCGAGTCTCCCCATGAGAGGCAGGGTAACCCCTTCTCCCTTGACAGACGATGCAGCTTGTAGCGTGCACCTGTCGGGGTTCGCTTTTCAAACTTATCACGAGCTTTGAAGTTTGTCGTTCCAAACGTCACGACCTTCATCCTCAAGGCTATAGATGTAGGCGTTCCACGCCTGAAGCAGTGAGGGACCATCACGTTTGTGATTCCCACTGTACCATCGATGTCTAAAGAAAGCATCGATGCAGAAATCATTCTCAGCGCGATAGTTTTTCGCGGTGGGGTCAAGGTGATGGATCCTTGACGAATCGAACAAACGTGTTCGATAACGATCACTCGTCGTCGCCGACAAGCGATCCATGACTGACTTTATAGGCATCCATGCCTTCTTCTCGGGAGCGAGACGCAACACGCTGCGGTCCCGCTCTTCCTGCGACGTGCCGACAGAAGTACTGGCACCTCGTTGCGAAGTGGTGTCAATAGGAGAACCGACACCACTGTTAGCGCCCGGGTCTCGCGACCTCGAGCGCCTTCGCTTCGGCGATGGTTCATCTGATTCATTAGATGAACCATAGATGCTGCGACGCATAGCATCATCCATGCCACGCTTGCAGGCGGCTTGGATTCGATCGCCATCAATACAGATCCGTCTTCCGTATCAGGAGAGTTCGAGACACCGAGCTCGTACTCTGTGAAGACACGAGTGTCTTCATGACCAGCGCCTGCATCACCAAGTGACACAGGCTGGGTCGCTTCAGCAACCGATGAGACATCAGTTGCTGTTGTTTCTGCTTCGGCGTCCGCACAGAGACGTGCGGACGCGCTCTCGGCTGCCTTGCTATCGCATCGCATGGGATTGTTAACCATGCGATGAACTGTTGGAAAGTGGACTCTGACCAACAAGTGCAAACCCTGTCCCAAAAGATTTGAGACGAGTATCCATTTAGTCAATCAGTCACTAAAGTGACTGATGGTTAGGGGGGTGATGTAACGGGGTGAATCGTTACATAACAATTTATTAGAAGCTGTTAGTAGAATATACCTAAAGGAGTTACATTCTCAGAATATTGTCGTGAGGACAATATTCTGTAGCACTTACGAGTAGTTCCTGATTGGTTGATATAGGCCATTATATCAACCAACGAAGACGCGCCACGACAGACGCACGCAATGAGTGGTGAGCAGATAATTGATTTACACATTTGTATTCAGACATTGTTAGATGAAGATAAATAGTGATTTATTGCAGACATTAACTATGCTAAATACAGTTCTACATTTTACTTTAACCAAGTACTCGCTTCTTCTTACCGTCTTCCTCTGCACGTACGAGTGTACGTGAAGTTACGAGGCACCGCCTTATTCTGTCATCAGAATAAGTAGCTTGTACTGTCACCAGTACAAGCTTCAGGGTGCCCCGTTACATCACGCATGTCTCGCTCACGCATCGCACGTCGCGTCGAATAGCAAAGCGCATTGTCCAGCTATGTAGCGCTTCTTTATAAACGCGATAGCCACAGGTCCACATATAGAAGAAATAAAAGATGATGTAAACTAAATCATTAGTGAGCTGGTGCTAATTCTGAGGCAGGTGCTGGTGATGAAACTTTTGGCCAATGGTGCTGATAGTGAGATTTACTAAGCTAAGATCTCTCCTGTCTAATGGCTGAAATTAGTCAGCCCCTATAAGCCGATAAGATATGAGCAAATCTCATTATCAGGACCACAAATGTCTAAAAGTCCTAAAACCAGGACAATAGTATAACCAAGTCTAAAATTATCTATTTTATACTTGGATTCAGTATGCAAAAAAGCATAGTGTTTGCCACATCATACTCAACTGCAACATGGGATAAGAAACTGCCTGATCACTAATGAGTCTATCCATTTTTTAGACATCTGTCGCGAGTGGTAAAAAAACGCCTTTTTTTACCAACGTTCGTTTACTTCTCAATTTGCGCCCACGAGCCGATGTGCCCATTTTGGTTTGGGCGCATTGCGTGCGAGCCAGGGCCCGCATGCACACGACGAGCTCGTGATCGGGTGACTCAGTTATTACACCCGCACTGTCGATTTTGATTAAATCAGTAATTCTTTTTGTACGCGGTTGCAGCAACGCCAGTTCATATGGTTTTACAATAGGTCAGGTCAGTGGTACCGTGATTAGTGTTAATTTCGATTGCTACAGTCACTCGAGACATCTCGAACACTTCTTTCAGTCCACTTCTTGCGCTTACGCTTAAACGATCAAACAAACCATTCAAATAAACAGTATGAGGTAGTGAACAATTTTTTTTCTAATGATTATTGCTTTTAAGACCAGTACTAATTTCTATAAATATACATAACGCATGTACTACACTTGTATTGATATTACGCCCCAGTCAGTCAAACAAACTCCTGGCACTGCAACATATCCACACGGACATAGCACACAATCGTTAAGCAGGACACTCGACATTACTTGAAAACCACTTGACGCCGCTCTTAATCACCGGACGCCACTTTACATCACTGAACATTACTCGACATCACTTGACATCACTTGACATCACTTGGCATCACTCGTCACGACTTAATACCACTCGAAATCACTCGACATCACTTGGAACACACTGCAACACATACACACAGACAAAGCATACGATCGTTAGACAGCACAGTCGGGATCAACAGCATGATTACCTGCTTCCGCTGCTCATGAGAGGTGATATTATAACGGAGTCCCCCGGTCACAAGCTCGTCGCGTGCGTGTGCGACCGGGCCCTGGCTCGCACGCAATGTGCCCAAACCAAAATGGGCACATCGGCTCGTGGGCGCAAATTGAGAAGTAAACGAACCGTTAGTAAAAAAAAGAGCGTTTTTTTACCACTCGCGACAGATGTCTAAAAAATGGATAGACGCATTAGTGATCAGGCAGTTTCTTATCCCATGTTGCAGTTGAGTATGATGTGGCAAACACTATGCTTTTTTGCATACTGAATCCAAGTATAAAATAGATAATTTTAGACTTGGTTATACTATTGTCCTGGTTTTGGGACTTTTGGACATTTGTGGTCCTGATATTGAGATTTGCTCATAAGATATTCTTTACTTCTTTTAGTGGGAAAGAATTCGTGTGTCTGAGACACAGGGTACGAATTACCCAACTACGAGTAACTGTTATACAGAGTAGAACAGAGGTACACATATGTAGCTGATCGGTAAAAGTCCCACCCACATAAACGGAAGCAGTAGGGGCAGAAGCACGAGCAAAGAAGAACAGGCAGAGATGTAGTAAACAGAGGTATATAAATGCAGCTGATCGGTAAAAGTCTCACTCACATAAACGGAAGCAGTAGGGGAAGAAGCACGAGCAAAGAAGAACAAGCAGAGATGCAGTAGAACAGAGGTATACAAATGTAGCTGATCGGTGACAGTCCCACTCACATAAACGGAAGCAGTACGAGCAGAAGCACGAGCAAAGAAGAACAGGCAGAGACGTAGTATCACAGAGGTTTGCATCACGTAAGTTGCAGCTGCAGCCCTGAAAGATGAGACACATGGCAGTAATTTGAAATAACGAGCGAATTTAAGAAGGACAACGCAAATTCAGATTTTCGGAGGAACACTCGAATAAGGGACCTTTCGCGCATTTGTATACGACATACATTGTCTGTATTGAATTCCGGCCCTGCGGCCACAGCAAGTAGCAATCAAATATTTCTTCAGCTTTAACAGGTACGGCACATCCGGTTGGCACGAGGGGCCAGCTCACGCAATGCCAGCCGTTTCGTTTTTTCGGGTCGCTAGCTATAGAGGTTTGAACTAAAGCTCATTGCGCTATTTGCTCTTAACCGGAAAGATGCGTCTCGACTTTCTACTTCTTCTAATCTCTGCGTCCGCTGACCATGCGCTGTCGATACAATCGTCCATGGGCCTAGTTGATCCAAGCGCCGTCACTCTCTCGTCTTCGGATTTCAACACTGAGAAAAGAGTCGCTCGTCAACTTCATCTACGTGAGGTCAAGGAGAACGAGGCCAGAGGTCTCCCCCAAGAACTAGAGTCAATGGTTCGTGTTGCTGTGAACAGCATAATTTCTGAAGAAGATTTCAAGTTTCTTTGCAAACATTTCGAGGATGAACGTCCTCTTGCCATTCTTCTGGACAAACACGGGGCGTCTATGAAGTTAGCTGATCAGTACCGTGATATGTTGGAGAGCCTTGTCCGCCCCGTAGCTTACGATCCACAAGCTAGCCTCTAAGTCATCCGAGGCGTCTGCATCAGTCTGTCATACTTGCAGCAGCTAATCAGCGTCAATAACAATATCAGTTGGGTTTTAACCTTTCTCGCGCCTTTTCTTTCCATAGACTAGCCGTCCAAATTGTTCGTGGTGGTAGTGCAGTGTAAAACCAGACATCCTTACAAGTATTCATGTGATTTGGTTGTGTTTCCCTGGTCAAAGATTTAGGGGAAACGTTGAACGTACCGGTCGTGAGTGCGTCATGGTGCCGGCGATTGTGTGGGCCATTAAAAACTACTTTTCCATCAATATCTGTTTTTACCCAGTCTAAATCTGATGAGACCATTCTAATTCTCAATATTTCGTCTAATTCAAATGTTTAATCGTATTTGCTTTTATGTAGGTCGCTGGAATGCGGCCAGATGCTAAAGCTGAGATAATAAAAGAAACGCAGAGAAGTGTGGTTGGACACATTCGAAAATCTCTTGTATATTTTAACTCTTTATGTGCAGTACTATTATTACGGTGCACACAGCATTTGTCAAAGGCGTATTAATGCATTTCCATAAATGTTTATGTGTGTCGTTTTGCTTTCTATTCAAGCTAACGTCTGTCATTGTCCACACACATCAAAGAATCGTCTGTAAATGCCTATTATGTTGCATACCTCAACCTTGATTGCCTTACATCTGGCTGCTTTGACGGATTCGGGTCGCCGTTGTTGTCGTGGTCACTGTGAGTGGCATTTTCTCTGACGAAATTATTGTCGACCGAATCATTCGTAATCCATGCTGTAATGAACGTATTGTACGAATTTTTTAAACAGGTCTATCAATTATACTGTAAAGACTGCATTCACCATAATTGTAACGGGGTAGCCCGTTACATGATGTTGACATCAAATGGTGTCAATAGGGAGATT